TGCCATTCACAAAAGTTGAAAAATGGATTATATCTAGGATAATTGTCGAATTATGGATAAATTTGTTTCAAAAATTCAATTGTTTTGTATAAATTTTCGCCGCCTACGCTTCCGAAAAAACTGCATTTTGAGGAATTTCGACGTAACAATTGGTTAAATTCGATTTTCGAACCCTCTTCCATTGTTACACCGCTCTGATATTTTTTGATACTTCTGTGTAGAATTTTTTTTTAATATCTCTAATAGTTTGCATTAATTTTTAGCACTCTATGCATTTAATTTGCAGACGAAGCCAAAAATAAATAAGGAAGTGAAGTCGAAAGACATGATTAAATATTTTTTATTGAAACATTTTCAGACTATGATTTTTTGCTTGTCATTGGATTTCTTATACAATAAACAAAAAGCCAGATTTTTGTGTAGATAATATTTGTCTCCGGCTAACGTTCGAAAGGCAGGCAAAGATATGTCTGCCGATTTTAGAAGCAAGGCAGCAAAGTTATGTTTTCTGTAAGTAAACCGAAAATGGCTTCGTGATACCACTTTTTAGGTAAAGTCTTGGCAGTTTTGTTGAAATATCATACAGAACAACTAATGAGCTTTGTGACTTTTTGTAGTTGTAGTTTCTTCTATTTTTTTTTAAATTTGAGGCTTTTCTTCTTTTTTTTCTGCAAACTTGCAATGTTATGCTTGTCTAATTGACTCCATTTTGGTGTTCATAGATGTTTTCTTGTCGCTATACTCCTATTTTCCTCTCAGCAACTTTTTATTCCGACCATTGAAAATGGGGAGGAACTTTGTATTCGGGTGTTTTTGTTTTTTTTCCACGCAAAATTAGGTACCACAAATATTGATCGGACTGGGTTGAGTGATATATAATATTGAGGCCCTTTCAGTCGTGATTCGAACCACAATTTAAAAAATTCCAAAAACTTTTCCCAGCGTCGAGAAAAAGCGGTTTGATTTTTTTGTCTTAATTAGAGCGAATAAAGCAAGCGAGCTGCTACCACAAACAATCAGCGGACTGGGTTGACTGATATATCATATAAAAGCCCTTACAATCGTAATTCGTGAGTAAAAAAAAATCGGTTTGAAATTGTTGATTTTTTTGTCTAATTTCTAGGGAGTTAGCTGGCTTACATTAACTTATTTATGCTTAATTTAAGCCTTGGAAATTTAGTTTTACTCAAATAAAGTTAGATTTTGGAGTTTTAGCTTCATCTTGGGCAAAAAATTTTGATATTTTGTTTTGAAAAATTTTAAAATTCCCTTTGATTTTTTTGTTTTTCTCGTTTCTCTTCACAACTTGTTTTCCAATATGCATATTTTACAAAGACTGACGGAAATGCATAAACTTTGTTTTTTCGCTCACATTACTTTATCACAGCAAGCCAAAAAAACAACAGTTTAAAAAATACTTTTGTTGTAATTTTTTCAAGACTGGTCGGAACATTCTGTGCTACTTGCTATCTTTGTTCAAATTTTGTAACCGGCTATCTTTGTTCAAATTTTGAATTTATCTATTTTAAAACCCCTCCACCCCTCCACTTTGCGCAATAATTTCTATGGATTTATTAAATGCTTGTTTCATTACGAATTGATTTCGGTTTCATGGCTTTCATCTCCATTCTGGCTCCCTTGTTTTTTTTGCCAAACTAACGGAATTTCTTTTATTTGAGAACTGAATTATTGCTCTGGAGTTGTTCACGCTGAAGTATACGTCCTCATACAATTTATTCATATTCAGAACTGGCAAAAAAAGTTAGAAAAAGACTGAGTCGTATTTTTGTGGCGGTTACGCTTTAGTTATTATGAAGCTAACATTTTTTGAAGTTTGATGTAATCTCAAATTTGATAATCACAAAATACTTTCAGACTTAAAAAAGCCGTTTTTCAAGTTTTATTTTACTTTGCCAAATAAATGTTTAAATCAACCCTTTAAAGCAAGCAATAATTTTTTATGAGATAAGAAAAGGTCGTTCCAGTATCATAACTTTCTTATACTAAGTTTTTGAAAATTAACTCAAATTTTAATCTTTAAATGAATTTGTGCACTGTGTTGAGAATTTGTCCTTAGTGACCTTCAGAGTTCATAATTTGTTTCTTTTTCAAATTCCTAGAGAAATTTAATAAATTCATATTTTAAAAACTCTTCATGAACTGGCAGAATGTGATCATTTTTAATTCAGAAGGTATGAGAATTTTTATTTGGCTTGTGTAAAAATTAATCACATCATGATTTCGCTATCAATTTGCTCCAGAGAGATATTCATCATTCAGGGTAACCATATTATTTTATTTAGAGCTCAATCAAATTTTCCTCTTTTTTTCAGAAAAATTGAGACAACTAAACAACGCTCAAAACATTCAGCGCTTCGTCCTCATACTAAAATTCTTGGTCGTCCTCATACTAAAATTCTTGGTTACCGCAAATTGAGGTCCATGACTTAATTAAAAACTTTCAAAGTTGCCCCAATGTTAGTTTCTGGACCAAAAGTTCGTAGTTTGTGCAGGTTTTTCTAGTAGCGGATAAAGTCTTAAAGAATCATTTTTTGGTCTTGATGGTGTTAAATTAAATCATTAGGGTATAAAATTTTCTCGCATTAGTCTAAAAATTAGTGGAGGCATTTAGAGGCGATAATCTGAAAATAAATCGAGTTATACTGGAAATGCGTCTCGATAGCCAGGGCATAGTCTAGACAGTCTGGATATAAATTTCTGACCTCAAATCAAAGTCTGAGAAACAATTATTGGCTGTGTTAATTTATTGAAGCCTATTTATAATGACTTTTAATGTGACTTCCTCTTTCCCCTCACATTTCAAAAAAACCATTTCTGTAAAAATTTTACATGTTGTTATGCTGAAAGCGTGATACTACGATAAAACTTATCATAAAAAATTTGTTCACAATGATGAATTTAATCACCATGAAAATTTTAATTACGTTGAGACAAGTTAAAATAGCTTTTCAAAGCTGAAACTTAAATGTGAAGTAAAAGTGGAAAAGATACTTAAGTGTTCTTAAAATTTAACAAAACTTCTCGTACCAGGGCGAAGCCTTGAATGTTCCGACTGCCTTCTAAGGTCTATAGAGCAGTATTAACATGAAAAAATTAAATGCTAATTTAAAAAATGTTTTTTTTTTTTATTGTGAGATTTGTTGTAAAAAAATCATCCCCCACACGCCATTTAAAGTACACAGTGACAAATTTGCTCCTTGCAACACATCAATTATGGCAAATAAGCTTCCTTCAACCAATTTGGAACAATTTTTGAGACATATTAAATCTCTGCTTACGTATATTAGCGGAAAATATATCGCGCGTTATTTGTCCCAAATTGGCCAAAATTTCATTATTCAAACACCCATAACTTAACAAAAAATGATCACAGGTGAGATATCTTTTCATATTCAAGCTCAAGGCAACAATACTCTTTGAATGATACAAAAAATTCCCGTCAAAACTCGAAATTTGTCTGACCCCGAGCACAAATATTTTGTTACTTTAATTTCAAAAGTCGTAACAAGACTGCTCACATCAGGGCGCAGCCCTGAGTGTTCCGATTGCTTTTTTAGGTTTATAGAGCAGTAATAACTTAAAAAATGTAAAGTAATAGAATAAAATGAAATTTTTTTTGAAAAAGAAAATCAAATTTAAAAAAAAAAATTTCATTTTGCTTTATTACATTAAGTTTTTTATTTTTTAGGAAAATCATCTCCTCACACGCGATATTAAGTACGAAAGAAAAGATTTTGCTCCTTGTAACAAATCAGTTCTGGCAAATAAGCTCTTTCAATCAATTTGCCACAGTTTCGAAGACGGAATTAATCTCCGCTTACGCGTTAGTAGCGCGAAATATATCGCGCGTTAATTGATTCAAATTGGCCAAAATGGAAATTTTTAAGCCACCATAACTTTACAAAAAATGGTCACAGGTGAACTGTTTTTTCAAATTTAAGCTCAGGACGAATGAAGTAGAAGCAAAAGTTGCGCCGATCCCTATTAATTTTTCTTCGGTTGCGCCTGTCGCGGATAACCTTTCCTGGGGAGCGCTGGTCGCGGACATCTCGTTCTGCGCAGTCTGGAATTGCCGAATTTTAGTCGCGGCTGTATTTTTCCTTTCCCTCCACCTCGCACAAGCATCAAATTTATGGTGTAACGAGTGGTTTTACAATGTTAATTATGAAGACCAAATATGTTTGCCGCGGCCTAATTAGTCCGTATGCCAATTTTCATAACAATCGAGTAATGTGAACAAAACTTTTATTTGTAAAATTTTGCAAGTGGGGATTTTAAAAAAGACTGTTAGACTCGACAGTCTGGAAATACCAAAAATCGGTCACAGTGGTCTGATAATAAAATCACAAACTCGGCCCGGGATGTCAGCATTACACTTTTCAATTGAACGTTCTCAAACTGGTTGCTACAGTGGGATTAATGTATTTGGATTCATGCGGTATTTGCACGTGTCTAATTAGTAATCAAGCTACTTGAGTTAACTATTGAATTCGATGAGTTTTTATGGATACATGTTTGCTTTTGGAGCTTTCTCAGTTGTGCCAACAGATTCTGGATCAATCCACCGTAGGAAATGAAACTCAATATTCGAATTCGAAGTCCAAAAAACGCCGCAAGAGGGACAGAAAACATGTGCTTAAGTTGTACACATTAGCGAATCTTCTTTTGTGCGGTGTTGGACATAATTTCCAAATTGGTGGATGTCCTTCTCAAATGGACGCAGAAAGACTCTTGCTCATTATCGGCGATATTATTGCATCAAATACCAACGCTATTATGGAATCGCTTTACAACGACATGATCAGAGGTCTTAAAAAATGTTCACTCTTTTCGAAAAGGAAACTTCGGAAACGATTTCCTTACACTCTTTTTGTTCATGCGCCTCAAGCAGCCGATCGTAAACGAGGAAGCCTTGCATCTTTCGTGAACAAAGTACTGCTCGTGGATTACGTAATAATTTATCCCATTTCATTCGGCTGGGCCTCGGCTAAGAAAGAGTGCAGTAGAAAAACGCACAGGGTTATAAAAGACGCATTCTCGAAACGGGACACAATTCTATCAATTATGGGAAATCACAAGGCACAAAGATCGGGAAACTCCTCGCGGTGAGCACAAAAAAAAACTTTTCACTCCCCAACGCACAAAATCGTGGTTCTTTTTTCTAGTAATATTTTTCGCCCATAATGAAACAAATAGTCCTACTTTTAATAAAGAGCCAACGTGCAGTGATAAAATAACTGTATTTTTTCACTTGCTCACGCTCAGCTCATTTCTTTTCCAGGCATAAGAATCCGTGTAGCAGTGCTTATGTGATGTGTTGAAAAGAAAACAGAGCCCACGCGTTTAGCTGAAAAGATGACGCGACCAAGTAACCCCCTCCCCCACCTAAAAAATTATAGCTTGGGCTTGGTTTTAGTTTTGTTATTTGTGCTATGAAGGACATTGCTCGAAAAATTTAAATCATACAAAATAGGTTTAAGATTGCTCGAATGCCAGTTTGATGATTGTGATGTGGAATCGAACGCCACAAAAATAGTTTACATAAATAAAATTAGTTTTGGAGCTTTTTATTGCAATTTTGGGAATCACGAACTTGAATTTTTGTTTGTTTTTCGAGTCACTTTTTTTCAAAAACTGTTGTCCAGTCTGCTTATTTTACTATGAAGGTCGAATATACCTAAGTTCAATCTTTTTGTTCAGATCCTTTTATCACACCACGCAGATAAAGAAACAACACTAATTTGAAAAAAAAATTTGGTATGTCTTTTAAGACTAAGGTCGGAACTTTGTGCTACTTGCACAGTTACCGGCTATCCTTGCTTTCATGTGAGTTTGACATATTTTAAGTTTCATTAAAGTTGTTCTTGTTTGTAAAATTATCATTAATAGTTTCGAAATAACAAAATTTTGAACGGATATATTAATTGGACATTGCTAATTCAAGTCAAAGAATGTTTTTTTTGGTCGATCATCAGACTGATGTAGAGAAAAATTTTGTATTCAGGTTTGACGCTAAACTCTGCATGGACGGGGCTGGAGACATATGCTGTGAAAAACAAGAACCCATCGCTGAGGTGAGTCGGGAGTTCTCGGAGAAACAACATACTAACTCCGACAGCTCAGAAACCTCGGAAAGCGATGAAATAGAACTGAAACAGGGTAAGAATGAAGCTGAGCAACCCGAGCAAGAAACGAGTGGAGCCGAAACAGACTTTTCACTCTCAGACGTCAACGACAAAGTGCTTAAAATCAAATTAGATGTCGGACATTACTCGGACACTTTAGACAGACTACTGGAAAGAAACAGACATCATTTGTGTCTGTCGCCAGCTAGTAGTGATGTATCTGTAGACTCGGTCGAGAAAGCACCAACGCCAAAAACTATTCATTCTTCTTCATCGTCTAGCATGCTTTGACTTTCGTTATAAATATTTTGTAGAGAACAAATATTTTAAAATCTTTTTTAAAAGTTCGCGACTGTCAATTCTAGAGAGTTTTCAGATTTCTGTCAAGTTTTTCAAATCTTTAAGTAATGGCCCAAACAAATATCATCTTTATTCTGTGGTTATTTTCTTTTGAGTTAGGTTCCAGACGCAATTTTTGTAGGTTTAATGAACTAATCAATAGCTCAGGAAAAGCAAAAAATACAGGAAAAGCGGAGCTTCACATCACTTGCGATGCCAAAAAAAGCTAGCGTGGCGAGCTAGCCAAGAAAATGAAACGCAGGCCAATAAGTCGAAAGATGTCGAAAAAATCACAATTATGAAAATTTCAAAACTTTGCTTAAAATAATGTTCAGTTGGCGGCATACAGGAAAAAAACGTCGGCGTTACGTAAGCAATCAAAGATAACAATCGAATGAGAACTACGCTGAAAAAACTTCGTAAACTCCAGCTGAGCCCAAATCAAAATTAAGAGCTATTAAACTCTGCAGTTAAGATTTTTCTTCTTCGGTGTGTTTCCAGAGAATAATTGTTGAAATTGTTTGTCCCTTCAAGAGCTCCAAAATTAGATCACTAAGCCGATGAAACAAGACGACACAGTTTAGACCGAATGAAATTTCTAAGCGAAAATTACAAAACTATGCAAAGTCAGGGTTAGTAAATTTACAAATTACAGGATTAAATAAAAAAACTTGCTAGTGAATTGAAAGTTGCCTGCAGTGCAAAAAAGTCGATGTGGCAATTAAGCCGACAAATCAGATGGGTTGGCAATCATCGCACTAACGGTAGACCGACAAACTTTTGTAAAAACAGTTTGAAAAACCACAGGCCCTGACCGGATTCGAGCGAAGGTCCTTCGCCTCTCAGGCATAATCGATCTCTGACAAAGAATTTCGATTTGGCCATACTGTTAACTATCAAAAAAATTTTGTTAAACGATTTATTAACCCGAAAATACTGACATCTATATTCCAATTTAATATTCCGATATTTCTATTAAATTTCATTCCTGGCTTAACGTTTGCTGACACGGCAAATGCATGAAGTGGAGCTTTAAACATTATGTTGTTTTCGTAATTTAGGTACAAAACAATTCCACAAAACCATAAGCCATAATTTGCTCTAGGTGCTCTTGGCTTACTGGATAAGTCTCATGGAAAAGCAAAAATTTCTGTTCGGTTTCGCTAAAAATTGTTTAAAATCGAACACATCGCAATTGAAAACTTCGTTTAGCTTTAATTCGGTATATCACTCGACTTAATTTGAAGTTTATTACGGGAACCTGAAAAAGAACACCTTATTTTATGTTGGAAAAAATACATCAGAAAAAATAGTTCTTTTCCAGTCCATGTTCGGGGGGGGGGGCTAGATTTGCAATCAGCAACAGAATACAAGACAACACTGAAAGACAAAAACTAGGACAGAAAATGTAATGATCACAAGACGACGTAAGCAGCATCAACAAAAAAAGGCTTGCCACGTGGGACGCCTGCCAGACGGTGCAAGTGGGCTGCGCACAGGACGCCTAGAGCAAGAAACGGGGGTTCCGGAGAAGTACTAGGATGAAATTTCCCAAGGACTTAAAATTTCTCTTACAAACAGCTAAGGAGTCGCAACTTCTGTACGAAAAATGTTCGCAAACGGTTCTTTAGATTGATCTTTTCATCTCAGTGTTGATAGGGTAGATATCGAGAACATTTACAAGTTTCTTTTAAAAACGGTCAAACTTTCAAAACTTTATTTTCCGAAATCCACAACTTTTTCCTGCAAAAGTAGGTCGTTGCTGCTCAAGTAGAGGCGCTTCCTAAAACCGGCCTTTACGATTGAACACTTAACCTGAGAAATGACAGAGTAGTTTTGAGAAAAGTTCATCAGAACGGTCAAAGTTCCATAACTTTGACTTTTTTGAAGGCCATTATTTTTTTCCAAAAGAAATTGGGCGTAGACAATTATAAAAAAAAACTTGTTGTTTCGATTAAACCTTTAATTTCAGATTTAGCAGGATAGCGAGAACCATGGCTTTTTGAGCGAAAAAAAACTTAGGTGTAACCGCTTATGCAGAAGAGATTCATGCAACCTTTAATTTCGATTCAAACCAAAATATCAGATTTGGGTCGGAAATTTTCTGGAAACGTCAATAAGTTTCACTAAGCGGTCAAAAAAATCAAAATTGGCAGTCAATGACACTTATCTAGTTGGAGCTTTTTTAATTCATTTGCTCTGAGGTGCTCTTCTCAATTTGCTGAGACATTTCTCTCATATTGGGTTAAAGTTAGATAAAAAATTAACAGAACAAAAGTTGCTTAAATTTTTCCAGTATTATCATTGGGCAATTGATTTTCGCGAAATTCGGAACCAAAATTGTACCCCAAAAATGGGTCAGCTTTGCTTTTTTGTTATTTACTTGCCTTTTGACAGTCGTCTCTTTCAGTCCTTGAATTATTTTTATCAGCTGCGGAAACCTCTTCGGATTTGACGTTTTGCTAGCTAGGTGAGTTTTTCTCAGACGTTAAAAATTCAGTTAAAGTTAAATTGAACACAAAAAGTTAGTAATATTAAAGTTACCCGAATTAAAAGCAAAAATATGGAAAATATCCCGCTGTTGTATATTTAACAGAATTAAGACAGTACAACAGAAATTAAAACTAGCACCATTATAGATTTCAACTGCCCTTCATTAACTTAATAATAACTAAAGCTGAATAACTAATTTTATCTTCTAAGTTCACAAATTGGTCCATATCTAAAGGGGCTCTAAGGGTTATTCTGAACGTCTGTGGAGCTCCTTTCACTAGCAGCACTCTCTTCAACAAGGCAACTGAGGATATCTACTGCGGGAAAACTTGACTTGCCGACGGTCGGGTATCCCTGAGACTGACTGGATGCGTCTGGAGCTTCGGAACTCCATGGTGAAAATGGTTTCACAATTGGCGACCTTGGAAGCGTATCTACAGATGAACTTGAGCTTTTATGGTTACTGTTAGACGCTCGTTGTCTCTGAGCTGCCAGAGCTTGTTCGTTGAATGCGTCCTGAAGTATTCCGGATGAATTGGAAGACAGAAGCTGCGAAAGTGTGACATCATCGTCGTTTACTGGAACTTCGTCCACAATATTTGAAGCTTTGCGTGATCCCTCGCCATCATCGTCTTCATCTTCGTCGTCATCTAAGTTTTCGTCTTCAATATCGTCTTCATTTTCAAAATCAAGTTCTTCGTTCGAGTAATTAATCTCTTCCTCGTGATTGTTGTCAACAATTGTTTGTCCATCAGTGTTATCATCTTCATCACTTTCACTTCCAACTTGAATCTTCACGCCTGGATTTGCATTGTCATCTTCAACTTCTCTACGTCTTCTCCTTGACCCGCGTCTGCGTCTATAGGACGAGTACCTAAACTTACGTCTCATAAACTCAGTCACTGCCATTAGATGATTCTTTTCCGATCTCTTCTCTTTATCAATGATATCATCTCCCTCATCTCCTAGTGATGACATACTAGAGCGTTGTGGTTCCATGGACATGTAGTGGATTTCTATGTGATCTGTGATTGATAAGTAGTCGCGCTCTCTAAGGGGGAGCATGTGGTTTAAATATGCAGCGTATGCTTGTGAAGAGTAACTATGATCATGATGTAATCCCTTGTTCGCAATTGATTGACTGGAGCTGAACATTTTGTTCAACGCTTCTCCTGAAACACTAAATTGGCGGTTGTTGAGACTGAACTTAGGAATCCGCCGGACAACTGGTGCTCCGTTTTGACTTTCACACGAATGAGTCCTTTCGTACGGCTTTTGAACTGCTGTTAAAAAAGGAGGGTTTGGACCTGTTCTACTATCTTCACTCGATTGCCTTTTAGGTTTCATAACCGAATTATTGTCGCTGAGATCCTGATTTGAGTCTCCAACTAAAGTTTGGTCCTGGATATTTTCACTGTTTTCAGTCAACTTCTTTAACATTGAGAACATCATGTCGAGTTTCTCGTTGGTATTTCGGTTGATTTCTTCGATCTGATGTTCGAGGCTTTGCAGGGCTGTTCTATTAACCGCTATTTTGTCGTTAATGTCGACAAAACTGGATCCGAATTGCTCCGTCCTAAAATTGCGAAATATAGCCATGAGATCCGAGTAAAAAAGTCAGTGAACCCACCAAACCTGCAAAAAAAAAAGATAATCGAAATTAATGAACCAATTCAGTACTCACTACAGCTGTTTCAGCCTTAGGGCAATAACCATGGTCAACATAGTTAGAAAATGGGTACTGAATAATAAGATCAGCAACAACAGCAAGCTAAAAAAAAGTGAATTTTGCACTTCTTGGTAGCAACTAACCTGAAAAAGAACCCAAAAATTAGGTGGTTATAAATTAAAAACAATTACTGAGAGAACATGCCCGAATTAATTGAAATAAAACTCTTCAAACAGATGCAAAGCTGAGCTTCGCACAACTTGCGATACAAAACAAGAAAGCCGCTAAAAATAAAAAATTGAAAAAATTTCGAAAATATCAAAAAAAAAATAGATACATCAGAATGAATAAGACTAGTTTTGAAACAATAGAAGACAACCCAAGACAATAGAAAGTAAAATCAACATTGAAAAAAATTTTACCCAGCGGTAACAAAGCCGAAAAAACCTTTCTTGCAGAAGCCCTTTAAGCCGAAAAAATTCAACAAGACATAAAATTTGATTAAATCTCCTCACCCTCAATTACACACGCACACACATACACAAAAATTTTACTCGCTCGTCAAATGAAATAATATGAGGCCTCTAAGCCGACATAATATAGGCCGAAACCAAACTTTAGCAATCAATCTTTTGGATCATCCCGTGACAATTAATAAAGGAACAAAGTTAGGTTTCTTTAAAGTTTTCACTCCTACGGAATCAAGTGAATTAATTCCTATAGATGCAAACATGCTTGCACAAAATAAATTAACACAAGGAAAATTTTTTTCGGAACTCAATCAACTAGTCCAAGTCGATAAAAAAAGAAATGCACAGCACCACAAGACCAGAACCTGAATATGAAAAACTTTGGTTCCCAACACCTGAAAATTGCCATGAGCCAGAAACATTGCCAAAGTTACAAAAACGAACTTTTTACTCAATTCAGGAATTGATGGACTTGATACGCTGGATATATCAAATCCAGATGATAAAAAACAAATCCATGAGCAATTTAATTGGAATGAAACGGCACTAGATACAGAACAGACATCAAAAATCAAGGAACTTCAGCTCGAGTTTTTTTGACATTTTTGCAAAACAGATTCGATGTTGGTTATAACACAGTGTTGAAAATAAAGCTAACACTTGAGCATAATTTACCAAGTTATACAGAATCCACCAACGCCCATACACCTTAGGAAAGAACTATCAGTAGAAGTAGCTTTAATGCAATACTTTAACATAGTAACTACTTTACCAAATTCAATGTACAGCAGCACGATTTTTGCACAAAGAAAGACGTCAGGAAAATTGCGCAAAGTGTTTGATCTAAGACGAATAAATCATCTACTCCGACATCATTACAATAATAATAACTTCCCAATTTCCAACATGACAGACCCAGTAAACCACTTTGCAGGGAAAAAAGACTTCACAAAACTTGACTGTTCACAAGCATATCGTTGTGCACAAATGGCATATCCGTTATCAGTACAACTGTTAGCTTTTAACTTTGCTTCACGCACCTTTGCATATAAATCTCTAGCTCAAGGCTTGAGTAAGCCATAGACAGGCTTTAGATGATTCATCAGATCATATCTAGACCCCTGTGTGACATCAGATCTATGTACACAATTCAAGGATGATATAGGCGCAGTAGTAACAGATTTTCGGAAACGATTCCAAATGTAAGGAAATTTTTTGAATGTTTGAGAAGTTAAGGATTGAAACTGTCACCAAAGAAAGGCCAGTTCGGAATGCCACCAATCTTTTTCTTGGGAAACATGATAACTGAAAAGGGATTACAACTTGAAGAGGAAAAAATTCTGAGAAACATGAGAATTCCACAGACAGTCAAGCAAACAAAAAAATTATTAGGCCTCGTTCAATTCTTTAGATCATTTCTACCTATTCTAGTTGAAAAACTAATGCCATTTTATAATCTTTTACGAAAAAACGTAGAGTTTAAGATAAACGAAGACCATCAAATTCTGAGAGATGATCTTTCAAAAGCAACAAAAACCACATTAAGATTAGTAAAACCTGATCAGCAGTATGGATTACTCTGTGATGCTAGTTACCATATTAACGGTTTTGTTCTCATGATCGAGGATTATAATCAAAAAGGAAAAACTGACACCAAAGTTAAAAGTTATGCACCAGTTTCATACGGTTCAAGACTATCTAACTCAGGTCAACTGAAAATATCAACTTATTGCAAGAGATTCCTAGCTTTGTATTTTGCACTGGAAAGTTTTTCAAACTACATTTGGGGATGCAAAAAACCTGTTATAATCCTAACGGATAATAAAAGCTTAACGTCATTTTTCGATGCCACCATCAATTTGGAATTTTTTGGACAGAGTGCTAACGTACAATATAGTGATTGCGCATTCACCAGGAAAGGCTAATGAGGCAGCTGATTTCCTTTCAAGAATGCAAACTGAACCAAACCAGACAGCAGAACTAGAGTTACAGGACTCCATTCCAACTAGAGACATTTTAGTTCACTCAAAAGCGAAAACACCAGATGTAACAATATCAAATTGCGAATTACCTGAGGAAAATATTGCAAGTATTGAGGAAAATCAAATGAAACCAGATTTAGCAGAAGCCTTAAAATTTCAAATCAGTTTACTCTCAGAAGTATAAAATGTTTTAAAGGTGAAAGAAACCGGAAGCTCACGAAAAATAAATGAGTTTTTTTCAAATAACAAGAGAAGTACAAGTTAATTCTATTCAAGATAGCGATCCAAAAAATAGCTCGATAATTTATAAAGATGAAATGCTACCTGTAGATCTATAAAACGAACAGAAAAAAGATCAGGACATTAAGGAAGTTGTTGAATGGATGGAAAAAGGATGTAATGAAGATTGACGTACTCTAGCTACGATCTTAAAAAGTATCGCAAAAACATGCTAAGATTCGAAATAATCGATGGGAAGCTGTATAGAAAATTTTAAGACGATACAGGGAAAGTAAGTCACCGACATGTGTGTGTACCAATAAACCTAAGAAGCGAGGAGTAATACAGAATCCACATTGCACCCAGAGGAGGTCATTTAGGAATAAGTAGGACAACTCAAGAATTTCGAAAACGGTTTTATTTCCCTGGTTTTACAGAATTTTTAGCTAGATATATCAGAAACTGTCAAACATGCTTAGCTGTAAAAAGAGCAACCTTCAGAGACCTCATAGAAATATACTGAGGTACGACACTGGATACGAATTGCTCCGTCCTAAAATTGCGCAACATAGCCATGAGATCCGAGTATAAACGTCCGTAAACCCACTAAACCTGCGAAAAAAAAAAAAATAATCGAAATTAATGAACCAATTCAGTACTCGCTACAGCTGTTTCAGCCTTAGGGCAATAACCATAGAATAATAAGATCAGCAACAACGGCAAGCTGAAAAGTGAATTTCGCACTTCTTGGTAGCAACTAACCTGAAAAAGAACCCAAAAATTAGGTGGCTATAATTTAAAAACAATTACTGAGAGAAAATGCCCGAATTAATGGAAATAAAACTCTTCAAACAGATGCAAAGCTGAGCTGAGCTTCGCACAACTTGCGATACAAAACAAGAAAGCCGCTAAATAAAAAAGATTGAAAAGATTTCGAAAATGTCAAAAAAAACTAGATATAACAGAATGAATAAGACTAGTTTTGAAACAATAGAAGACAATAGAAAGTAAAATCAACATTGAAAGAAAATTTACCCAGCGGTTACAAAGCCGAAAATACCTTTCTTGCAGAAGCCCTTTAAGCCGAAAAAATTCAACAAGACATAAAATTTGATTAAATCTCCTCACCCTCAATTACACACGCACACACACATACACAAAAAATTTACTCGCTCGTCAGATGAAACAATATGAGGCCTCTAAGCCGATATAATATAGGCCGAAACCTATTATAACAAAAAAAATCAAGTTGGTAAAAATACACCAACGTCAAAAAAATCGAATAGGACAGATATTTAAAATGCTAACTAGCAGAAACTATTTTGTGCCTGTAAATTTGTTGCTAAAAAAGGTTTCCAGGAAATGAGTCTAGATGAGCCCATTGAACAAAGTTAATCACAGGAAAAAAGTCTAGTACCCGATTGCAAGAGTAATTATGACTAGAAAGACTAAATGAAGCACTGAATTTAAGTGGATAATTTCACCCATACATGTATCAATTTTGCGTTAGGGGAGAACGTTTTCTGTGTTACTTCTGGGGAAATGGTTCCCTTCATCCTAAGCATTCACATTGCCGCTCTGATATTTTAGATCTAAATTTCAGTATGCTGCGGCGTTTGTTAATATGCTATTAACAAAAAAAATCTGAATGTCACCAAATATTTACCTCATAGAAGAGAAATGCAGCTGTCTAATGAAAAAAGTTACTTTGAGTTACTCGTATGAAAAACTTGCCACTTTATGACTATAGCTCCGCATTTCTAAGTTAGATTCTACTGTTCTTAGGTTACAAAAATAATGACGAAGTTTTTCGCATCATAATCAGCGCACTATATGAATAGCCTTAGACTTGAGCGGGACTGATCTAGATGCAATTATTGGAAACAATAAACAAACAGATACGGGAAATAGAAGGAAGAGTGACAAAAACTCAAGGACATAACCGCTTCTAACCTCTGGTCGATGAGCTTGACGCGTTCGTTGCTGGACTGTCTGGAATCATGTTCAGTTCTGCGCAGGTAGTTGGCCAGACACTTGTTCTCGAACCCGTTCAGATCCAGCTCCTCCTCCCGACTCAGAAACAACTTCAGACCCTTGTCGTACGCGTGCAACTTGCGTCTCTTTACCACACATCTGAACATTTTCCATTTTGATATATATGCTGTTTAAGATATATGCTGCTATTGTTATCTTGAGTAAATTACACAATGAACAGACTGGGACATAATATGGAATTATTCTTGGGCGTTTATATCCGAAAACTTTTCATACCTTTACTTAAACGAATATATTACCCGAGTGATGAAAATTAGCTAATAAATATATATTACCTGACGAAGAAGTAGACGTAGCTGATGAAAGTGAGTGGGGGAGGTACCACTGATTTGGTCTCGTGGTGCATGATAACATAGTAGCGCTGGTACTTCCACACTTCTTTCGTCATGGTGCGCACCTGGTTGTAGGTGTTGCTAAACAAATACAATTGACAAGACAAATGAAAGCATCAACAAGTTGGAGATTTTTCCAAGCCTTTAGTTTCATCTATATAATAAAAAGTGGGGCCTTTTGGACCAAGAAGACATCAAATTCCGCTTCCCAATAATCTAACTATGACAAATCAGTTTGAAGTGTGCACACCTTACAGCTTAAGTATGATTTTTCACTACTCACTTAAAAACAGCGATGAGCAAATTCACAAGCAGAATGTTCTCTACTAGCAAGTAAATTGACATCAGAGCCGGCTCGATCCAGTGTCCGGTCACACATTCGGGAGAGTGATCCGTGCCACACTCGGGTGCTATCTCCATCGCATACACTTCCCCGTATATCATGAAGTAGGGGTGGAAGAAGATGTCTCTGATGTTCTTCCAGCGGAAGGGTTCATTCGGGTTCAAAATTGACTGTCTTACTGTACCATAACAGGAGAGCACCAGGAACATGAACACCATGAAAGATATCATGTCCAACATCTAAACGGAAAATTCATCCTAGACTAATTCAAATATTTCACATTTCTATGGATCATTAGTGGCCGTTATTCTTCACAAAAAGCATTCTATAACCTCTGTTTGAGATACCGGTTTACTGAAATGAGCCATACTGTTCCCAGTTAGCTGAAAGTGACTGAGTGCAACATGTCTTACCATCTGCGCAATGATCTGCACGAAGGGTCCCAGAGTCCTGTTGACGCTAAATACCTCGAGCAGTTTGGCATACCAGAAGATGACATCGAGGCAGTAGAGCCACCTGCCCCAAGCCATAGTGGCCGGGGTACAGCGCAAGGGCAGGGCAATGAGAAAGAGAGTGCAGCCGAGGAAGTCGATGATGTTCCAGGGGTCACTCAACCACACACTCACCTTCAGGCGAACTTTCACAGGCTCACTAGTCGCTATCTGACGCACAAAATACAACACCATAACTTGCACACTTGTTCAACAACACAAAACGCGGTAAAAAGTCATCTATATTATTAGTAAAAATGGTATTATACGTAATTCTCGGATGCAATGACGAGCAAGGGATAAGAAATGAAGAAACGTTTAATCTTACAAAGGTATAATGAAATTTAACAATGATTTCGCTGGCCTAAGCATGCACTTTATTGCATTCAACAGGTTCCAGTGAATATGGACTATTTACCTCCCTGTAGACTTCGAGGCACATAGAAATGATGCAGCATATCACGTAGATCTCAGTCCAGTGTGGATACACTGGCAATTTCACCAGAATCATCCAATGGTACAATGTCAGGAACACGAAAAATGCCATCGTGTGCGTCCAGAATTTGGTTATCGGTGCATTGAAGAACTCGTAAATTTTCTTCTTCGCCGTGATTTCTATGTTTACTCGTGCAGAGGACACGACACTTTTCACATCTTCATAATGATTTCTTTCATCCTTGGGGCCCACAATTCGAACAGTGGAATCATTGTTACCTGATACTTCATTGTTCTCCTTCTGAATTGCACGTGGAAAATGCTCTTCCGCGACTTGCTTTAAATCACTGGCAATATCGTCCGGAATCTTTTTATTGCTGGTGGTACTAAGCTTCCCATTTTTGACCGTCACCAAGTCTATAGCTTGAGATCCGTCATTATTCACACACTGCAGTATAATTTGTTCGTTCACACTGTTAGTTGTTGACTTATTCCGACGTCTCTTCAGCCGCTTGAGCCTTCGCCATACTTTATGGTCATCTTCACCCGTGTTAGATCCTTCTTCTGATGAAGTAGAAGACGACGATGACGATGAAGACGACGAACTTGAGTCGTAGTGAAGCGGGTCGACTTCGGCATGTTCTTCAGCAGTTTGAGGCATAAGTCTCAACTGTTCCACCGTTTTGTACTCCATCAGCAACAAAACTGGCGGGAAAAGGATACACGCTATCACTTTGAAGTTACTGTTTTTGTTGATCTTCAGACCTCCCATCCACAAATCGTTGATGAGCAACTGGCATGCATTATGCGACACAAATGTTTTCGCATTAGCATTGACGGCCATGCTGAGATTGGTTTGCTTGCTCCATTGACGCAATTCGTATGTCAACAACTGACAAGTCAAATCGACATCATTCACGTAACACTCCTCCAATAGATTCAAAGCCAAATCCAGAAATTCGTCCCCACATCTTTTCAATTTCTCAGCTGATCCTAAATCGGAATCATCCTTTTCTGCCTCTTCGCTCATTGAGAAGTACAATTTCGCACCCGTGATTGCCTTCGCCAGAGGTTCTGGTGATTGTTGCCAGATAAACTTGGCCATTTCTTGGCGCTCAGCCAAAACTGCCCAGACGAACAATTCATGAAACGGGTATTCAAATACAACCTTCTCTGGTTTACTTTCCGCGTCCTCTGTTCCTTCTGAATGTTCGTGATTACTGGCCTGATCTGTCAGGTTCTTGAAACTATGAGTTGAACTGAGAGCAAAAAGTTTGTCTTTCACACTGATCCTTCGTAGCTTCTTTTTATTAAGTTCCTGGTCTACTAAGCTTTGTCTGTGGCTCTTGTATTTGATCTTGAAACTCTTCCGACAGTAGGCACTTCTGTACACGCCTCCGATTAACATTTCAATGATACTTCCGATGTCAATCAAGGACACAGCCATGTGCTCCTCATTTGCAGCTTTGCTCTAAACGTACACTAGTCAACATGAACATAATCAAGCACTCTGCTCCTCCCTTATTGCAAAACGGTACGGGGAGAAGAATTCATGACAAGTGTCAATATTTCTATACGCTTAGCGGTTGGAGCAGTTCATTACAGGGGTGCAGAGAGCCATTACTACCTAATATAGGGATCAATTTCAACAAGATCTGCCAATGCGAATTCCGCTGTATCTATGGGGCTACTAATTGCAGCACAATGATTTTCATAATCAGGCAAAACATTCCAATCTAATCAACAAGATGCTTCAATTCCAATTCCAATCCATGGGGAATGAACAATCTATCTTTCCAGAACAAGGATGATAAATCAAACAATTTTGAGGACATTTCAGCTGAATAGCTCTCTCTTTCAGTGAAATATCACCTCTACAGCTAGAACACCTTGAAACGGACAACTATCGATGATCGAAAATGCATTGACTGATTTTCTCAACTAACATAATCTACCTATATATGTTTGTACATGCACTCATACCTGTTCTTTCACAACATATTGGGTATCGTGCTAAAAATGAATCAACTAGTAAAATAGTACAAATTAAACAGCAAACATCTCGGTGGTTTAATTTGAGCTGCGCTTGGAACATGAATTCGATTAGGAAACTAATTTGTATATGTCAAATCATCAAAAAAAGAGCGCGAGAAAGAACGTTCGTGAGAAAAACGACTTGAAGACAAGGTGTTTGAATGAATGTTGGATGCTTTACGAGTTAAACAATGCAAAATTGTGCCACCTTGACCTCCTTGAGGAGTTTGGCCAGCATGGAGTTGGGTGCTCTGCAGTTGTTGAACAGCTCCTCCATGGCCTGGAACGTGAGGAACTTCTGGATGTCGATGCCATTGTTCAGCAGCAGCTTCACGAAGTCCACTCTGTCCTGCTGTAAAGCCAACATCATCGCCTCGTGCAGGTCACTCACTTCCCACTCCTGAAACAGTTGTTAATCTCCAATAGCATCACAACATCATCAACTCTTATGCTAGCCAGATGATTCTCCAGCAGTGTAACTGGTTGACACCTGCTTCCACATTTGCTATCGCTAGATCACAAATAATCTCAAACTACAGACCTCGGTGAGCTCTGTCTTGCATTTCCCCTTTAATGCTCTTTCATTTCACCTTTAATGATCTTTCATTTCACCTTTAACTCGAAGTAAAAAAAAATCAGCGCATCATATTTCTCATCTGGAAAAACTAACAAAATGACATCCGCATGATATATCTATTTTCTAAGCGCCGATATTAAAATGATGTTTAATTATGGAAACAGCTATTCTTGTCTTTTATCAATATATTTTCATTTAGGGAGATTGAGTGCTAGCTTTTTTGAATTTGATCAGTGAAATGAAGTGACGCATGAAAAACAGAAGTTGATTTGAATATTGTCCTTCGAAGACCTGAACATAAAAATGCCGCACACGGTAAATACAAGTGCGTCATCTGTTTAAAAACGGCAGATTAATCAACAAAACTGTTTGTTAGTGCGTCCATACACGGTAAGTAGCACACCACACCAAACTGATCCGTATCAGGCAAACAGTCTGTCGTCAGTACATGTAAGGTAAGAGCTTTGTAGTCCATTTAAATCTACTCGTGGTGTCTTTTTAGAACAAATTAGACTACAATAGGCCCCCAATTTTATCGGATTAGAAAGATCATTCATTTGAATGGATGAAGGGGCTCTACTGATTTAAAAATCAATGTATGACCACAGATTCCACTGAAACAAAATGACCATTTAAAGTGAAGTAGAAACTTGATTTTGAGCTCAGAAAAGAATATTGAGAGAATTTAACGAAAAGTCTATATAGTGGATTAGAAATCTAAATTTCAGTTCTTCATTCAAACTTACTGTTGGATGTGACTAGAAAAAAAATTAGATTGACATAAATTCGCACTTCTATTTTGGAACTCCTTTTAGGCAAAAAGCATGAAACTTTGATGAAAACGAATGAATTTTTGCTAATTTTATCCTTAAATATCGCAACATGAGTCCGGTAGGATTAGGCTAATTACATCCTGGGGCGAGTGGATCCCGCCGGATTAAAAGGAGGAACAAAGAGGATAAAACCAGGAAACAAAAGTTAATTAATTCTGATGGGCTTCAATCCCGAAGGGATAGATTAAAGTCGGAAGCACAGACAAATTACTTTTGTTTCCTCATTTCAATTTTGCTTTGAAAGGATCAGGCGACTAAAAAGGGAGATAAAAATCAGAGATGGAAAAGACCTCTCCTCTTAATACAATCAATTCTAAACCCCATGACCACAAGGATGTATTTGTTTCACACAATTTTCCCCAGGAGGTTTTTCACATAATAAAATTGGAAACAATACCAGCCACAATCAAATGCCGAGATCAAACTGACAAAAAAATAATGAAGCAGATTGAAGTCTCCATGTCGAGGTTCTTTGTCGCCACAATTATTAAAATTTCAAGCCTAAAACACTAAATTTCATTGCTACCTTTCCCTGTCTGAAAATCTCATTGTCTGCCAAATCCGGGCGTCCCCAGGACATGGTCAATTTAAACCTCTCCAGACAAGATTCAGAGTGACTCTTCAGGAGCGCCGAGAGAATCTTCACGTCGACATCTGCAACTCCGTCCGCCTGTGATCCGTAAGAGTAGATGGATATGTGCTCGTGGCCAATGTGGAAACAGTTGACCAGCTCATCCAGCAGATTGCTGGCATCTTCAGTGGTAATGTTGAAAGACAGATGCATCGTGTTGATCAACTCGGGGCGAACATTCTCCGGAATCGATTTTCTAAAACACAAAAAACTATGATGCGTACTCGTTGCTTGATGGCAAGATAACATTTCCCAGTCCAATCAACTAATCAATAAATGCACGTCCTTCTTAACCATGGGCAAACGAGCGATTCCCCATTGACTTGACTTTCTCATTTTATCGTGGGCAAACTACCATTTTGAGTTATTTGTACATGATATTATACCAAGTTTAGTAAACAACATAGCTAACAGACGACAGTTGGAAAAGAGTCAATGAAAGCAAGTGTCAAGTTCCAAAATTTCCCAGAAAAAAAATAGTTTTCCTTTAGTTTAACTTCTAGAACACTTTATGATAGACACTTTTTTGATAAAATTACCCTAATTTGAGAAAACTGGATTAAAAGGAAAAAATTTGATTCCGCAGGTAAACTTAAAATTAAACTCCACTTTTGAAACTAGAAGTCGATCACCTTTTTCGTGGCCTTTAGACTTTTGCTGTTCGATAGTGGAGTTAGCCTTCCTTTTAACAAAGGGATTGAACTGAAATTAAGAAATCAAAGTCAAACCGCAAAAAAAATAAATTTGAGTCTGAACAAACTTTAAGACTTTTCCTGAAAAAAAATCATCGCGACCTATATAAGAGTCTGAACTACGTTCATCGACTCTTAAAAAGTTAAATATATGAATGTAACAATGCAGACTTAATTCACAATGAGGCTTTAACTTCCTTAAAAAGGCGACATCTGTTTGTTCAAGCTTTAGAATGAATATTGATGAAAAACCCACCTCTCATCATATACTCGATGCGCAAATGAAATAATATCGGCGGCTCTCCCAGTTCCATCACATACAACCACAGGAACTGGCGGTTTCTCTGACAAGTAGTCCGCCAATGTCCTGATCAAACTCACTCCTCCTTCTATTGCAACACACACCAGGGGTATCTCCGATGGCTCTCCAAGGAATCTAGTCTGGACACTTCTGCCGGACAGATACCTCTCCAGACTTCGCCTCAATCTCACTTCTACTCCGTCACAAGATGCAGTTCCATTGTCCGCCAGCAGAAAATGACTGTGATGTGCGTTGAGCTTACCCACTTCTGCCTTTCTACTGTAGTACCGCACTTTATGCTGAAAATGGAAGGAAATTCAGTCGACAATAACGAACACTTAACGATGTCGAAGCTGAAGTGAGAATTTCTTAACCCCTTTGTGAATTCGACCACCTGAATTTTGTGGTCCAAATCTTCCTACGAGAAAGTGGAAATATGATCAATTGAGCAATACCCCCCCTGTACTGACCTATGGAGATATCTCCACCATGCAAAGCACAAAAAAGGCGTTATCAACGCGAGCAGGGAGTTGATTTGTAGTTAGCATGCAGTCAATTGATCGATTGAGGTTTTTTTATGAGAAAAACATCGGAAAGGTTTAATATTTTTCCAACTATTTTGTTTGGGAAATAATTGCCTCAAAGAAAACAAGTTACCAGGGCTGATGCTTCCCTAATTTCGTATCTGTATACCAAAATTGGTTCTCTCCAGAATCTTAAAATTCACATTGTTCTACATTTATAACAGAAAAAAGCCTGCTGTATATGCGACTAATTGGGTCATTTTCTCCCATCCCTTTTCTCTCCAACGCTTGATTTTTTTAACCCCGCCCTAGTCAATGCAGGACCAACCGTGGGGGACGGGACTCATCCATTTCGCTGTAGCCAGTCTCACCTTGAGGCGATTGTCACAGGGACCCCTCCAACGAGACCGAGGTGGGATTCGAACACACGACCCTTATTATGAGAGACGCGTGCATTGCTCACTTGGCCACAGCTGAAATGAGGGGATGGGGGAGATTGCTCAACTAATCCCGGAAACTTTACTTCGACCCAGAGTACAAACAAACATTGATAACAATTAAATTGAAAAACGTCGATCATAATCACTCTATTTACCCATTTACTCAGGCGAGAAATACCAAACTTATCGCATTTCGATTATGTAACCCATGCTAATGCTCGGTTATGAATGGAGTGTATGTATCTTGCTTCTGTCGAGTATCCGCATGTAAAAAAAAAACAAATAACTGATGTTGAAATTCATTCATTTAGAAGTAGTTTCATAACCACCAACTCACGCGAAAGTGCATCATGCGCAAGTACATCTTAGAAGCATGAAAACTCCTTGAAGCAAGTTTTGTCACATGTTCAAATACTATTTCATTATTAGCGCCTTTCAAATCTGACATTCAAGTTGTTTCAATTACTTGGCTTTCTTCGGTTTATGACGTCTAGCAACTGTAAGCCAGCTGACTAGTGGCAATTAGCTAACCGAATTCATCTGACTCTAACCTCTATTCCAATCATGCCTTCTTTTCCCTGCACAATTCCCCAGGGCGTCACTCCGATACAGGGGATTCTGTTGTTCCTCTTGAACGCATTCTTCAATGCCGACCCAACCTCTTTACTGGCACCACAATTCAGTCCATTAGTTATAATCCAGGCCCCTGTGGTTTCGGCCGCTTGCACTAGCCCAGTCTTGATTGACTGCTTCACTTTGGGTTGTAGTTCGAAATCTGTGGTGCCTCCTAGCACTGATATGAGTAGGTTAGGAACAGGTAGTTTCCACACATTCAAAAGCAATTTGCTCACCATTGCAGCATTCATATCTTCTGCCATCCTACAGTACTAAACACATTGAAAAAAATGTTGTTCTGGCTACTTTTCTTCTCTTACAGTTTTTCACAGACTTATTTTTCAACGCCATTTTTACACTTGATATTGACGAGCGTAATTTGCGCTCCACGTGAGACTAGGATTAAAAAACTGGAAAAATTCAAAAATTTGTTCGAGTGTTTCCACATAACGCTAAGAGCTTAACGTAGCTATGAATAAGAAGTTAATCCTGTCAATAAAACAATGAGGAATGGAATCTATGCAGGTCACTAACTTTCCCAGTAAAATTTCAATTTTTAAATTAAATTATAAATTTCAGCATTTACTGGCGCCTGATTGACCACTCCGATTCCCTGAAAGTCGAGTACTCCATAAGTATTGCACGGAACCCTGGTAGTCATGATGTATGACCTCCCATTTCTGCGCCTTCTGGTCCTTGGTCTGTAACTCTGTTCAACCAAATGGTCGCTCTCTTTGTAACCACATTTACATCTAAGACAAAACATAGCCAACATATAGTCGGAAAAGTGTCAATGAACACAAGTAAACAGAAAAAAAAAATCTCGACTTTCGAATTAGAAAGAATAAATAGATGGCCGTAAGCTTTTTTACAAAAAATTAAACTGTTTTTTATTTGGACCAAAATCATTCGAAAAAAGAAGTCGATCACGTTTTTCGTGACCTTTACACTTTCGCTGTTCGATACTGGAGTTTGCCTTCCTTTTAACAAAGGAAACTAAAAAAGAAATTAAGTCAAACCGCGAAAAAGTAATTTTGAGCCTGAACAAACTTCAAGACTTTTCCTGAAAAAAAAACATTGAGACCTATTGAACTACGTTCATCGACTCTTAAAAAACTCATCATTTATCTAATTGGAGGACAATCAAAAATAGAAGGAAAAAGAATTACTAACACATCAGCTATGTTTGAGGGCATGAACTCGTAGCAAGTTTTCATCTTAATATGTTTCTGAATCCAGCTCTTCGATACCTGAAACACGACAGAACATTTCAAGATTTCCGTTTATGAACCAAGTATTTTTTCATGGATAAGTATAATCATGGTGGAGACCTAGAGATTAAGGAGAGCAAATAGAGTATACACAGAGGCAAAGCTGCGCTTCACAAACACTTGCGAGAACACGACCAAAAGGCAGCTCTTTCAAGTAGAATAAGAAAAAAAGAAATAAGCCTCGAATTAGCAAAAACTCGGCTACGTGTAGGATTCGAATGTGCGACCTAACAAATTTGAGTCTCACGCACTAAACCCTCAGCCACGGATGCTAAAAATCCTCAAAAACTAGCCACCAATAATGCAGATACATATGCGAATAAATTGCCTATTCGATGCAGCAAAAGTAGCACCAAATAAAAAAAAGATACAATATTGCATGTAGTAAAACGCAAAGCATAAAATCACATTATGTATAAAATATGCATTTAAAAAAATTGCGAGATATATTGAGTTGAAAATTTTTTGAAAACGAGTTTTATTTATTGTTATGTTGTTTGAAACAAATAGCTATTTTCAGTTCATGCGATGAATTTAAAATGCATAAACTGTGTAAGCTTATTAAAATTCGAATATTAAAGCACACGCTATCAATAAGCTGTAAAGGTGCCCTAAAAATGGCACCAATATTGGCGACTTAGGTTGGGAAAAAAATTCCTACTAATACACTTTGCTTCGCAAGTGTAAATACAAAATATTGCACAAAAGTAAAACCGAATTTCGAACTGCTGGCCATACAAACATTAATGCGAAAAAAAAGTTATAATTAACTCATTTTTGTGCAAACCACAAACCACGTTGTGAAGGCAAAATTTTGATTCAGTGCGTTTGTTTCACCAAATAACAGTCTTTTGCTCAAAGAAAATTAACCTCAGTCCAATGCTTTAGAGTATAATGCTCTGGGTGCTTTAGCGTTAATTCGTCGATGGAGATCAAAGGTTTTTCAAATGATAGCGTATCTCAAAGCACAAAAACCTATTGTCTAAAACCGGAAAACGCTAAAGAAATCAAATATACAGTTGGAAAAAGTAACAAAACTCAAAGAAGCCAAAAAAATGATTGACTCAATTTCGAACATCTTTCAACTTTCAAATTTTGAAGAAAAATATATCGCGTTAAAGCTCTTTGAATTTTCAAAACATTTTACTATAGTGGACACTTTGTACACAAAACTAAACCAACTCGAGAGAATCAGGTCAATGCGTAATTTCTGAAAGATAAAATCACTCTCGAAACTAAACATCTTTCTTAACGTCAATCCCGCCATAAAAATGGGAATGAAAAAACGGGCAAGGAACAATATCTGAAACATTATAACTTGGTAGACTACGGAAAATGAACCAAATCCATGATAAAGAATGACGTGTGAAGGTGACGTAAATCAAAATTGAAAGTGTAAAATCGGCAAAAAACAAGAAGCACGATACGTTTTCTCAGAATTGGTTAAAAATCGTTCTCGATTTTATAAAAAATAACAATTAATTAGGTTGATACTAGAAAACGATGAATACAAAACAGAAAAATGTGTGCAATGCACGAAGTGACTTACTCTGAATGCAAGGATTTTGCAAATTGTTAATCTAAAGCAAATTCGGCTAAGATTACCATTATAATAGTAAGGATTTGAAATAGTACAGCTTATCTTAAACAAAGTGTTTTGAAAAATAATGATTACAAGACAGGAAGCGGTAAAGCAGTATCGAGTATCAAAATTACCAAACACTTTAATGTGTAAGTTTAAAAGTTGAATGTGGCAAGCGATTTCCGCTGAATACCTCCAATATTTAAAATATATAAGCCAACTAGATAATGCTCTGCAATTAAAAGCCTGCACAAAACGCGAGAGATATGCTTGAGCAAAAATTTAAATTAATCACATTATGATGCAATATACACAATCTCCCAAACATTATTGAGAACTAAAAACATATGAGTTCAATCTTGGAGACAAACCAAGGACTTTAGTACTAACGGAACCGTGGTTAAATGAATCATCGAGCCATTTTTTCTTAACAAAAACTGAGTACCAAAAACTCTACAGGTTCAATAGAACCAACAGACGTGGTGGTGTAGCTGTTTTTAAAGGAGAACAAGTCTCAATGGTGAAGTTGTACTACAACAGACAAAAATCAATTACCAACAATTCGAACTAAATTGGGAGAAACCTAATTTATTTGAGAATTCTTTGTAAATCACCAAAACAACCACTTGATTTTTTGAAGACGCTGGTAAATCACTTACTCGAGCTCGCTTGAACAACCTAAACAGACGCTAAGCACTGGCGTGCGGAGGTTACAATGTCAACATTAAAAAGGAAAACTATGTCTGAAACGATACAACAAAAAAGACAACGCAACAAAAATAAATCAGTGGTTAGAAACTCGCTCAGTAATTACTATCAGACAAATAGAAACAGCAAATTTCTTCAAGTTCGTCAGCAGTGTGAAGCCAACGGTAAATAAAGACGGAGATGAACAATGCTACAAGTGCAAAAAAAATCAGTTGAAACTTTAAATCAATTTTTTTGTTGAAATTGGACCCAATGGAGCTGTATCACGGAGAAATTTTTCAAATGAAAGAAAACTAGAGAATACATGTTATTTATCTGAAACGATAGACATTTTGCTGATTTTGTTTATTGACAAAAAAGACATGCTTGCTCAGGACTCTAGAAGTTTCTTTAGAAGAATTAACCCGGCAATCTGTTTAACTTTGTCTGATCTGGAATGTATAAAACGAAAGAGGAATCAAACACAAATTACAGGTCAAAATCACTTCTACATGTTTTTGCAAAACTATTCAAAATATAATTATACTGGAGGTTTGTTAGATTTTCTTATTTAAAAAAATGTTTTCAAACAGTTAAAGGATTTTTGTCAGAACAATCATGAATTGATGGAATTGAAGAATTTCTCTAATCAATTGAAACTTATCGTCAAAAAAAATAATATTTTTTTACGCTCATTGATTTATCAAAAACGTTTGATACTGTGAATAATTAAATCCTGCTTCGAAAGTGCTCAAAGTATGAATAAAGAAGAACATTTTGAATTCTAAAATCACATCTAGAGAACCGCTACCAACTATTTCAAATTAATCCAACGAAGAACACACAACAGAAAAAAAAGTAGGTCGCTTTGTGATCAGTTCTAGGTCCACTTTTGTTTCTACTTTACATCAGATGATGCTAACACATGGCTAAGTTTTAGACAAAACCGAAACAAGTATTCAGCTCAAAGAAATTACAAAAACGCTTAAAGCTTCGAGGGATTGTGTCGAAACAGATAATGATGTTACTAGAAACATGTTGTCGGTTGAACAACTCATTAGAGTGTATAAAAGCTACATACTATCAATTTATCAAAATAGAGAATACTGATTTCTGGTTGCACCTCAAAATTTTGAGGAACCGCCAGCAAACAACATTGAGGAAGAAACACGTGCAGAAGAAGTCTTCAAAAAACTAAAGTCATAAGAAAAGAACATACAATTATAGATGTGAAAATTTTGTAAGCAGCTTTTAAGTGACACACGGATTACAACAGTACATCCGTGAAGAACAAATTTGACAAAAAAATAAGTGGACGAGAAAGACTTCGTTTCAATAAGATGGTGTAAAATAACTAGATATTTTTGTGAAAGAACACAAGGCCCAGCAACTAAATTAGACAGTCTTTTTCATAATCTTATAGATGAATTCTGTGCAATAGTTTTTTTTGGTAAAAACTCGGTTGAACTTTTGTTAATACAAGTAGCAGGTTTGTTTCGTATTAAAACTACATCAAACTATTAAAACGGTTTATGCAAAACTTTATAGTTCAATCGGATGAAAATAAAAATCTAGATTCTGACTTTCGAAATACTCTCAAATGATTTTTATAAAGGGCTTGATTTGTAAACGAAATTAAAATTAAGATTATAAAACAGTTATCTCTTGATTATTTATGTTGAAATAACCAAATCAAAGTTTTAAGAAATTCAAAAACACTTCAGTTTCAGACCTTTGTCAGCTTCTAATACGGGCTGCTTCGCAAGCCTTACCCTGTAATTTAAGAATGTTTCCCTTTAATTTAAGAAATCATACGTAGGTACAGATCTGCTTCGTAAAAACGATCAGGAAAAAATCTACGAAGGTTCTTGTTCTGGCTTTTTGAATCAATGGAAATCATATAACAAATGGAATAAATTAATCAGTAAGGCCACCCAAAAACCTAAAAATGAATCAATCAATTTCAAGCCATCATTTTTGAAGATACTTGACAAAACATTGGATAAACTTTTTAAAATAAAAAAAGATGGCAGGTAGACCAAAAAACATTAAACCAAAAATCATGAAAATTCCCTCGATTACGTGAACTAATTTTTATTTGCAGTCAACATTAGTGTATTTAGATCAGTTGATACCTCAAAAAACTAGATAGCCTTATGCTGAGTAATATATAGAACATGGTATCTAAGCAACAAAATTTGATTTTTTAATTTCGGAGAATTTTTTTCATTTCGAGAAGATAAAACTTATACGAAACAAAAAATCCACAAATTGGAAAACATCCCCTAAGAACGTAACAAAAAATAACTTTCCATTTTGAGAAAAAACAACATACAGAAACCAAAAGCGTAACAAGTTGGGCAAAAAACGATGATCCCAGCGAATTTTTCAAAATTTTAAAATTAAAATAAAAAAATTAGGCCAATTAATTTTCAGCTTTTATCTAAGCAAGTAGCTATCAAAAGGCTTAGATTGAAACTTATTTGATCTCTCGTTTTCCGCTGTTTTTAACGTTTTTTTCCAGCACCAAAAACGACAACCATAAAATTTAGGAAGATTTAATAGTTCAAAGGATATTCCAAAAAATAATCAAAAGCCGACAACTTGCCAAAGCTCGTAAATCTATCCTGAATTCTTTCACGCGAAGGCGAAACTGCGCTTCGCAAACACTTATGAGAAAACGGCAAAACAGCAGCTCTAAAAACTCGAATAAGAAAAAGTCGAAATAAGCATCGAATTAGTAAAACTTTTGCTACGTGCCGGATTCGAATTAGGAGTCTCACGTCCTTCTCTCTCAGCCACGGACGCTTAACAATTGGCAAACTATAGTCACAGATAAGAAAGAACAGATATTATAAAACTTTGAATGCTACAAATGGTGCTTACAGCAAAAGTGTCACCAATCATAAGTTTCAGGAGAAAATCCTGGAAAACTCAATTCAACTTAGGGATCTCAAAAAGCGAAAGGTTTGTTAATCTCATACTTGCTTCAATTTTCGTGAACTCGAAAAGCAAAAAGTTTGGTAATCTCCTATTTGCAGCCCGATCCGAAGTTGGGAGACACCGACGTCTATTAAGATAGAAACAAAAAAAAGTACAACCCAAATCAGTTATTCAAATAACTTTCGGGAAATCTGTATGACAAATCCACATCCCAAAAAGCAAAAAAGAGCACCTTATTTCACTCAAAAAAGCAACTTTTTGCAGCATTTCATTGACATAATGCACAAAAAAGAAACATTTAAAAAACCATCTCAAAAAGTAAAGAGTTTGGGAGTCGCAATTTTTAGATTAATCTCGAAACAACAGAAAGCTTTCTAGTTAGGCAAATAAAAGGTTGAAAACAATGACATGACAAAAAAGTTTCGAATAATTACAATTTGTTACAAAAATGCTCACAACTTTTATCAAAACTCCCAGATGTCGAAAACATGACAATAAAAGAATTTTGTCATTATTTTCAATGTATTATGGAAATTCTGAAAAATGTTTTGAGTAGATTCATATCTCGAAAATAGCCCTTACAAAAATTCTATCTACATCTCAAAACAAAGCGAGAACTTCGCAAACACTAGCGAGAACATGGCAAAAAGCAGCTCTATAAAGTTCAATAAGAAAAAGTAGAAATAAGCCTGGCACTTCTAAAAAGTCTCGGAATCAATCTGCGACCTAGATATTTTGAGCCCCACGCACGAACAACTCACCCACGGACGTTTAATAAATCACAAACACTAGCCACAAATAAATCAGAGAACAGATGCTATGAAACTTCCAATGCTAAAGAATATTAATGAACACTTTTATTTCCGAGTTAGGTTAGAAGAAAAGAAGGTTCGTACTATTACACTAACGCACGCAAGCTGCCTAGTAAAAGCGGAAAATTCCTGAGCCTAAAAAACTTCAAAAAGACAAAAACTAATTTAAAAATGTCCTAATCCCCCTCCGCCTCAAAACACCGAGAACAGCACACGAACAACTTTTTCTGTCATCAAACGACGCAATATGAAGATACTTCGCCAAAAAGAATAGGACGAAATCATTTGAGCATAATAAAGTTTTTAGCGGAAAAAAACTAACGAAGTCAAGGTAAGTAAAAAACACAAACAGCAGAATTAAATCAAAACCCTAAACGCAACTACAATGCATATTGGGTACAGCAAAAAATTCTACGATGTGGCAACTAAGCCGACAAAACAGAAGCTGACAAAAAACAAACCGACATTTTTTGAAACAGAATATTTCCAGCGCAAAAAAATCTGGTCCTGTCAGATACGAGCTCGGGACATTTGCCGATACAGGCGCATTCGTTACCTCCAAGACCAAGTGTGCCAGAGACGCAAAGAAACTTGAATTCATTTTGAACAGAACCTAAAACTACCCTTTCTAAATTTTGACTATTCTGTGAACAAAATTATTTACGGAAAGTCTAGTACCCGGTTGCAATACAGTTGTTATCATAAGTTTAACTTAAAAAATAGTATAACTGACGGTTCAACCGTTTCATTTAAAATTAGTTTTATTCCATGTATTTTTTCAATTATAACTCGTCAGAACATTCAATGCTTACATGTATAAAAATCGGCTATTATTGTCTTATAGATGTTTGCATGAAAAACAGTTAGTGTCCGAATTGAAATACAATTACCTGTCTCAATTGTTTAAAAAAACGATAAAATGCAAGCTAACCGGGAATTTCTCTCTTGAGTTGTCACTGTAGAGCATGGCACAATGGTTATCAGTATAAACCACGTAATTTTCACCATCCTGCTTTATTGCTTTTGTGGTCACTGAGTTGAGTCGCTGAAAAGTTGGTTGGAAGGATGATGGAAGTGCTGAATATTTATGATAGTTATCGTGAAGCTCTCGCGTCGTGTCCACACCGGCTCGCTGTAGAGCATTATCAGCCATTATCAAAAGCCACGTCGCTCAAGTTAAAGCCAAACGTCATAACAAATTTAACGAAACACGGAGCAGATATTCAGATTCATTTTTCTCTGAAATCTGAAGGAAATTGAAAGAAGAACAGATCGTAGCAGAGGTAAACTGATTAACCAGCACTAAAATGACCAATTGAGCACCTTAGCCAATCTCCTTTTATACTGGAACCAATGAATCTCATTGGTCAGAAACAAACATAAAACCGGGAACAGTATTCCCTATATGATTGCAGCATATTTATCACCTCAAATAGAGCGCAAAAAACTAGCAGGAGTATCATTTTTAAAATACATGCCGGCTCTTTCCAGAGCCCCTTCAACCTTTTCTGAAATTCAACGAACAAGAGTCTATTTAAAAATACTTTGATATTCTTAACTGATAAAATATGTAAGCGTATAGACTGTTAACTGAACAGGTTGTTCGTATGAACACAACTTATTCGTATGCACACAACTTTTCAACATTTCTGTTTTTTTTTTTTTTTTTTTTCAAACTTTTTTCAGGTAATCAGAAGGTCAAAAGTATCATAGTAACCGAGGTTACAGTCATGAGTCCCTTCATCATGTATTCCAGTCAAAATCCTTGGAATTTTCTAGATATGGAAGTGATAATGATAAAAGAAGATGTCAAGTGTTTAAGTCCTTTTCATTTAAAATCGATACGGGTTACGCTTCTTCAATAAGAACACGCAACTCGACACGAGATAATATAATATACAAGTGTTACAAGTAAAAAATTTCGTCGAAAGTTATTTTGTCATTTATTGTTCCGAGTACGCAAGCGGCGTTCGCAATCTGTATTGCCAGGGAGATTCTCTGTTTTAAAAAGCTGCCTGCTCTGGGTTCCTCAGTGCATATGCTTAGGTTCTTACAAAGCTTGCTCAAAAAAACTTGTGCTGGGGCCGGCCGCGCCCTGAATTTCAAAAGCTAGCGGTTGAAAAAGATATCCATCATTTACAAGATCTTTATATTTGTCAATTTTTCGCTCTTCCGCTTCAGCGGCAGCCGTACCAGGGTTACAGACAGACCCGGCATTAATCCTACAAGGGGCTAAGGAGTCTACTACCGTTACATCCCACAAGAGCTGCTTACCATCAGCCCATGGAACGAGCGTCAAACCGTCTGGTCGCTTCTGATCGGTCCTGTAGAGGTGTCGTGGTTCTAAAACAGACGGAATGTGAGTAGATGATAGACTCTGCTTTATAAGGGCATTCAGGTTTGAATGCCTAGAGAATCTCCCTGTACTTTTGAGGCAAGAAAGACCATGCCAACCATCCTCGGTAACGTCTTTTCCGCACACGCATTTATGCCGTTCGCATATTTTTGATCCTAATCGAAGTCCTATCGCAATTCTGAGTTGTTGGTTCGACAGTTTTAACCTTAAATTTTTGCAGGGGATGACGTTCAACCATTGGGATCCAAATCTATCTTGGAACGCGTTGAACCTTTTCAGGTCCGTTGGTTCGAGTCGTAAAATCAAGTCTGCAATTTCGCTGTCAAAAATTGGCTCCGTCCAATTTTTTTGGATTTCATTTTCCGGAGCCATTTCAATTTTTCCAAGGTCAAACCACCGTTTAAGCGCATCATCATAGGTTCCATCCACATGCTCCAAACCAAAGATTTCGCTCAAGGCATCTTTCGCTCCTACTGCTGAGGCTAAGAAAGCGGGTAAAGCGAGTAGACGAGCGGAAGAAACGCCCAAGCCACCTTTGGCTGCCGGGAGAACTGCTTGTAAAAACTGGTTATCATCCATTTTCACGTTAGTGACCTTGCATAACGAATTTCTTAGTAATTTATCGTAGCGTTCCAAAAAATCATTTTGCAAAAAACAAGGGCTCGTACGAAAAAAATATAGGAGTTTTGGCATGCTAAAGCAATTTTTCAGGAGGTAAAAACCATAATGGGCGTCTAGTTTGTCAATGACATCCGAGATTTTTTCAAGCTCCCTAATTTTTTCGTCGAGGGAGCTTGAAAAATTTACAGTGTGCAAACTGGAAATGGGCCTATATGCCCTTGGATGAATAATAAAAACCGGATGAATACTACAAAATGAATCTTTCTTAGATCAAAAACGATTGATTCAGTGTTAACATCATTTACAAAATTTCAACGATTTTTTAGTATGTACAAAAGTAAAAAAGCACAATGGTGCAAGGTCTTTTACCAGACCGACTTGTTTATCAGACCACTATGATTAAGAATAGGCAGAGTTAGGAATGTGGTAACTCCGCCTGGTCTTTCTTGCTATCAAAATTCTCTGTACATGCACCGCTCCAAACAACTCTTGGAAAATCATTAAAGCGATGGTCCTTGGAACCGGTTTTTTAGCAGACCAGTTAAAGAAATTTTGAAAAAAAGTAAATTTCAAATTGTTTTCGCAACTCTGTGCATCGTCAGGATTTTCAGAAAAAACTAATCTAAATGACGATAAAACTTCAAGTTACAAATGTTATTTACATTAATTCACATAAATTTTGGTTCTGAACCATCATGTTAAAAAATTAGCCAATTAGAGTTGACTTCTAAAATTACAATTTAGATTAAAATACTTTTAACCTCTAAAATTAAATAACAAATTTTTAATTAATTGGTCTGGAAGTTTTCGATGGTTAATACTTTCGGTGTAGACATGCACGTTTAAAATAGAAAACTAAAAACATTTTTTTTTGACTGAATTTTCAGTGTTACTTTCCTGCTCCTAAACTCATAAGGCCGTGTTCAAGCTGGGTTTCTCTTTCCTGTGTATTGCCTCTGGTGTTAACAATTCTGTTTGGTTATTTGACCTATCTATAATTTCCCAACTAAGATCTGCACTATTTCCATCAAGACTGCATTGCTGAAGGTGGAGGCATACCTGTGAGTTTGCTGTCTTATGTTCCTCAATTCTAGTGGTCAAATGTCGACCAGTTTGTCCGACATAGGTGGAAGTGCATCCACTACATGACAATTTATAAACCACACTTGACTTGAGGTCATTAGAAAATGCTGAATTCAGTGATGAATACTATGACTCTAGTTTTCTTGCGGTGATAACCACATAAACGTTGATTAAATTTCCTAAACTGCTTGCAAAATGTTGTTGGCTTTGGTTACCTCCAAACTGTACCATCAGCATTGGGTATTCACATCCTTTGGCGATTGAATTGACAAAGTCCTCTCGCTAATCAGAGGCTTGCCCTTACCCTCCATAATTTTGATCAGGGTGTCTACCGCCACCTTTGCGGATCATTTTTCAGGGTACTGATTTGTCAGCCATTGCGCCCTATTAATTTCCATAGCCTCATCAAATTGCTGCCAGTTAGATGTACTCCAAAAAACTCTAATTACAGTGGGGCGCAACTTCTATAGTTCAGTTTAGTCACAGTATCTGTTGGCTTTTGATAACAGTTGCAGGTTACACACCTATCCTGCAAAACATTTATGTTAAAATCCAGGAACGGCAAATTTCCCTTTGAACTAGTTTCCTCTAGAGTGAGTTGTAGATTTGGGTTAAGAGAATTGGGCGGCATCGAGGACGCAAATTGGCTCACTTCTGAATGTTCTAACAAGGTCATCCTCATACCTGAGGAACAATTTTTAATTGTGGAGCATCGTTTTCTTTGTTCATAGCGCGGCAGCAGATTTCACAGAACCAGACTATCTCGGTTATTGATGCGTATACCTCATCGGGTATTTTTCCGCATTTTAGATTTCACCAGTTTCGGTAACAATCGCATTCAAACCCCTTTGATCTTTTTGTTACTTTCCTGCGGCAGCAAGTGCACAAACCGTTTTTGGTCATTCATTGGCTGTATCTTAGTTCCCACCGGTGTTTCTTGTCTTAGAGCAAACCCGTATTCTTTCAGCCATAGGTTTTCCAGAGTTACTGCGTTTGAAGCACTCATTGTTTCAGGAGGAGGCTTCTGGCTGTACCGCTTCTGTAAGCCAATTTCAATTGCTTCCTTCAGGGGAATATTAAGTTACAAACTTTTCACATCAAGAGATATTATGGTTCCATCCAGATCTCGAAAAATGTTTTCAATTGTTTCTCTGGCATCTTAAGTATTGGTTTCTAAATTGGCTCCATCGATGTTGTCAAAGAACTTTGCAATAGTTTTGTAAGGGTTCTCATACGAGCTGCCCGGAACAGATAGTACTGGTCATAGGGGTGTCTCAGCCTTATGTACCTTAGTTAAACCGTACAAATGGGCAAGTTGCCCCCTGTGGACCTCAACTTAGAATATAATTGATCACTTATCTCGCCTTTTCTGTACATGGCAAATAATTCTTTGTTGAGTTCCCTCTCAATTTTCAGAGTAACCTCATGAGTGGTTGCCTCTTTTTTCATAAACTGAGCAGATTACAACAACGATTCCAGCTTTGATTAATACGTTTCTTTCCTCATTATGCAAAAACTATCCTCCTTATCAAAAAGCACAGCCAGCAAACCATTATCTTTGAGATATTTCTTCGTTGTCTCTTGGGGTTTGCCTTACTTTTTGGCAAAAACCTTTGCCGCGGCTTCTATTTCACATAAAGTTTCACCAGGTAATTTTCGGTTTTTCATTTGTGAGAGGAAAATTTTGATATCAGCCAAAAATTGCGCTTCGTTAAATTTGTCTCTGATGGGATATTTTGGGCTAATTGAAAACTTTTCATGTACCCATCCAGGCAGTTCTATATTATCAAGCACATTAACTGATTGCTCATTTCGCCCCTCAAGAGGTTCATCTCTCGGACAATTTTTTTAAAGTTTTTTCATTGGTTTTCTGATGTTGTCATTAAGCTTGCCTCAACTTGACACCTCACGAAGCGGAAAATGAATGCCCAACACGGTTCGTCAATTTTTTTTGCACCAGCAATCGGGCTTTCACTAGCATCTCCTCATATGTTTTCCTTTCCTCATTTTCCCTAAAAGTTTCAGACCTAGTAGTTTTGATTGAAAATTTTGCACACTTTGGTCCAAAAAGCCGCGTTCTCGGGAACCCTAAACTTCAAAAGTCCGCTATTAGATCATTTTTTAGACATTTTCTCAGAATCTTCATTCTTTGTACGGATACTTGAATTTTTTAAAGAACTTTTAATAGTCTAACACAAATTTCCAAGTTTGATTTCTTTTAAAAGTTTGTCTGAGCCAAACAA